TGATCCTACACCGTCTTGGGGATTTATCGTGCCACTTCCTTTTCAAGGCTGCGTTTAAACTTCGCGATGACGCGCCGACGCTATAGACGAGGATGCAACCATGTACGAGTACTGGTCGACCACAGACAACACGGTTTTGAGGGAGAATGGGACGAGTTGCCTAATAGCACAACCTGATACCCTCCTATTCTCATACACTATCTCAACATACCAGCGGCCGGAGCCGATCAATACTCTTCTATGGCTGCGTTCCCGTTCAGAGCAATGGAGCGCTATTGCAAGATAAAACGACCTGAGTCATCGCAACGTATGTATACAGGCTTACCGTCTGGGGAGGAGTACGCACCAAGAAGTCAAAATGATTAGTTCTCCGCCCATTTGACTAACGCGGAATGTGTGCTTTAAAGTCTACCCCCGGTAGCAGCCCATTTTTCGCGCGGTCTTTGCCTCTGTATCCTCAGCCCATGTGTATTCAATACACTCAAAGGGACCTGCACACTGTAGAATAAATTCTTGTTCAGGCATGATCAACAACTGTCTCACCGTCGAACCTGGAGTTCGGGCCTGCTGTTGTAACACCGACGCCTGTCTCACGCCAACAAGGGTCTGTTGCTTTTGGTAGACCCTTTTCTATCGTCTTACTGGATGGAAATATTTCAGAAGCCTGGAAATGTTCTCTGGTGTTACGTTGGTCTTAGTGCCCCCAAGGCCGGAATCAATGTCGGAGGAGAGGTGAGGGTTTTCTTCCGATCAAAGACAATTGGCTGTCGGAAAGGTTTACTCCATTCAGGTCGTCTGCGATGGACAGTGCTCGTCGTTGAGCGCAATCATCAACGGTGATAACGTCACCACCTTCCAATGCGCCCCAACCACAATCTGCAGGTAAGAAGCCCGGTTTTCCTCTTCCCCACCCATCAAAAAAACTCTTTCGCGTCTCAAGGTCCCTCGGTATCGGACAATACGGCGGTTGCGCACCTCTGCCAGGAGATCGTGAAGTCAATGCATGCTGCTGCAGTAATTCGAACAGCTGCTGGCATTGCCTGCTTGAGGAGTATGGTCGAAACAGCTCGGCAACTTACTACCAACTAACTAGAACTTGATGTAAGTGGCAACGGCAAACCCTGGCTTAACTCTGCCTCCCAAACTGATAAGCTCAATTCCAGATCTACCCCCCAACGCCATCACCTGTACAGGAGTATCCGATTTCTTGCTGGAGCGGAGTCTACGTCAACGAACAATGCACAATTACTCGCTGGTAAGTGATACCACCTTGTATTTTCTGGTAGTTTCCTACACAAGGGACGCCAGCTGTGACCATGTTTGTTTCAGATTCACCAAACTTTGCTTCGGGTCCTGAATGCGGAAGGTGGTGGCTTCAGGACCCCAATGATATTGGTCAAAATCACAATGCCACCGTTTACATGTGTGATCCGACAGCGGTCTGCCAGGCTCTCAGTAAGTATTTCAACTAGTATTTTACACTTTTACACTTCTAGTAGGTCACTGGTAGCCCTGCCGGTCCCTGGCTCGAAATGTTTTTCTGATCTATGGTCAAATGTTTGCTGTCGAAACCATACGAAGTGAGCGTATAACCCAGATGGGAGAGTTCGGCGTGGGGCATTCTGCACGTTCGTTACGTATCCAACGGCGCGTATGTATCATCATCGTTTCCTGAAGTTGACAAGGAGTTGACAGGTTTCATTCGTGACGGTTCCTTCATTTATTTACGGGACTTCACAGGTTTCGAGCCCAAAAGTGAGACTTGTCAACCGGAACTAACGAAGCGACGAAAGTGCAGAATGCCCCCCGCGTCGCACTAGGCCCTCAGATGCTAATTAGTGCAAGGCATTCTATGCAATATCTGCACCTATCTCTAACGGGTATGAGACAGGACCATCATAATATGCCGCGCTGGTTAGGCGTGCGCGACGCTGCTTAGCGCCTACGGACGATGATCCGCGCTGGGTTCCAATAACGGACGCAGCGGGCAGGCGACGGAGAAGTTCGGTGCCGCCAGCCACGCAGTCCTGTCTGCGCTTGAATCCATAAGGTTCGTTGCACCAATCAGGAAACCTGGGTAGATCGAAATTTTGCCTCCACATGGCATATTGTTACCGCCGCAGGGTATGCCACCAATCACGATTGTTCTTGTCCGCTAGCTTTTCCCTCACTATGGGAAACCCGCCTCTTCTCCATCCTTAGTACGACCAGTTGCTTCCCCCTCCCCTTCCCCTCCCATCCCCTCCTCAGTAGTGGTTCAGAGAGAACAATCATCAATCAACTATGTGAACACAGTAAAAACAGAGATTTTCTACTGTCTGGAGTTGGAAGAACTGAAAAGTCTGGCGGCAAAAATTACGTTACAATCGTAGCGAGAAAAAAAAAACAATATTTCCACAAGTCAAGCACTTCCCCCCCACTCCCGTTGAAAAATCCCGCTTTGCCTTGTTATGTATAGTTCAAACCCAATGGATTGTCCCTTCGATGACTGGGAAAATGGGTAGCAAGGAACCCGGAAATTAATAACCTTGACGAAACCAAATAGCACTAGAATCATCCCCCATCAGCAGGCTAAAGCATTCTCGCTGGCAAGAAGCTGGGCGTGCCGGCGTACAAGGTACTAGGCGCTTTTTAATGACTGTTGCGTCGCTTGACCACTTCGAAACATTTGTGAAAAAAACAGGCTGGACGCCCCGGCAAAAAAGCTGTCCCTTTACACGCGCCAAACGGTCTGCGGGCGAAAACGGGAAACTCAATCCATTAATTGATCGATCATTCCAGATATGAGTAACACTTGTATGAGCATGGAGGTAGGACTCTCTGGTTGCTGCTGTAATGAAGACGCCTGTCTTACACCAACGAAGGTACTTCAGAGCCGTTTTACTGAAAACTATCAAGTAATGAGATAGACAGGTGGAGCTAATCGTGTTATTTTTTTTCAGTCACCTCTGAACAACCCACTGACGTGCTACGTTGGATTGAATGCCCCGGGAAAGCTGGCATCCAACGTCGGGAGTGTAGTGTCAGTGGTTGTTTTGGTTTGCTAAATAAGTTACCTTCACTGGATGACAGAAGAAAGGGCGGGAAATAGCACTGAGCCATCTCCTGCGAATACTGTTTGTGTTTGAAAGAAACAGCGCACGATCGCTTATTGAAAATCTGGTTTTTTTGGTGGGGGGGGGGGGGGGTGGAGGGGTAGCGATAGATGTAGCGAACAACTCTGTATTAAGTTCGCGTCCAGAAAGGGGTGAATAGGCGGCCGTAAGGCTCAAAAAGGTTGCGCAAGTGACTCCGCCCAGGTTTATAGACGCCCTGTCTGCTGTCTTGCTCGTCTGCATGCTCTCTCGCTGTTTTGTCTGGCCTCTCGCCCGATATCCACATTCTTGTCTCTCGCTTGAAAGGAGTAGGGCTTTATTCGGAGCGTTTCAACGAGTTCCCCCCATTCACGAACAAATCATCTCGGACGTACTTTTCTGCCCCGCTACCTGCAAACCTTTAGCTGGCTCATCGCGAAATCTGCCCCGAAGGCAAGCTCGGTTTAGCGCGCTGCTCCTTCTTCAGCAGTCGTGGAAGCTGGCCGGCCCTTGGAAAGAAAGAACGCCTGACCCGAGCGGTACTGGCACGATCGGGGGTACAAAATGTGACCCCTAGACCGTGAGCATGCCACTGCGTCACTTCTGCCCAATTAGTGATGGACCGTGCCCCCAGAAGGTAAAGCACAGCCTCAATCCATTGCAGCTAGCTTTTTGTCCAGTAGCTCCAGCCCCTCAACTCGTATATTTCAGGTGGTTTGCAATGGAATGTGCTCTTCGCTGAACGCTATAGTCAATGGCGATAACGTTACCACATTCCAATGTGTGTCAAGAAGCGTCTGCAAGTACGTGGTTGATAATCTGACTACTGTAGGAGGTTACTGTAGAGACCGTACTTGTTTCTAGATCATTCGGCCTTGGAGTCGGTTACGGATGTCAAACCCTACGAGGTGATCGTGAAGTGACCGGATGTTGCTGTGACAACGGAAATGGCTGTAACCTCGCCGCCAGACCGGATGTGAGTTCCGAGGTCGTCACATAGCCTCATCTGGAGTAACCGCCTCTCGTTGCAGATCATTCAACCAACTCTTGCTCCTTATGTGGAGTTCCCTATCTCATGCTGGAGTGGTGTCTATGTGAATGGAGTTCCACTGTCCAGACCAGGGTTCGTTTAGCTTTCGGGACAAGATCAGACCAGAGTTGAGCTAACTCCGCTTTCAGTTACCAAAGCTGTAACGGAGAGTGCGCCTCGTTGACCTTGGTCACTACCATCAACCAAGTCACTCACAACGCTACCATGTACACCTGCGATCCATCGTCTGTCTGCAAAGCTCTTAGTACGTAATACCATTCAACTTCCAGCGAAAACAGGGCACGGAAACCCGCCCAAAGTGGGCGGTCTGTCATCGAGCGTTAACTGACTGGCTTTTTTCCAGAGATGTACAACCAGTGCACCACATTGGAGACCGGACTCAGTGGATGTTGCTGTGATACTGACGCCTGCTTGAACCCTACCAGGGTGGGTTGTGCCTAGAATGTGGTCCCAAAGCAGAAATCTCATTTGATCCTGTTTTCAGGTACCTGGAAGGCCACTGTGGTGCTATGTGGGACTCATAGCCAAAAAGGCTGGAGTGAACGTAGGAGCTGAGGTGGGCGATTCAGCTGGCATCAAAATATCTACTGTACTAGTAATTCCATGTCTCCCTCTTTAAGGTCGCTTGTAATGGAATGCTCTTCTTTGAGCGGAAAAGTCAATGGTGACGATGTCACGACATTCCAATGTGTACCCAATAGAGTCTGCAAGTAAGAGGGCATCTTAGTGGTTTGGGTAAATATCTCAGGGCTTGATCACTCACTTTCAGAACTTTCTTGAACACCGACGGATGCGCTACGCTTCAAGGAGATCGCGAAATCACCGGATGTTGCTGTCGTAATGGCGATAGCTTGCAAATGTTGCCGCAAGAACAAACTGATGATATCGATATTATTCGCCAAACGAAAATGTGCAGCTTGTCAGACCTTCGCATGACTGCGCGTCGATGCGCTACAACCGCCTTTCAAACCGGTAGTGGAAGAATGTCGCAGTATACCAAACGCTGCTTAATTGTGTTATTAGACACTGGTACCCTTATTCTGCCACAGTACTCCGTAGCAACAGCGCCTGTGCCAGACCAGTTACCCTTGCGAGCATTGCCCACTGCTGATAGCAATGTGAACGCTGCTCGAATCGCGCGTTACAGCGCGCTCGCAGCTGCGTTATCGCGAGGTCTGAACTTTTCCTAGGTTCACTAGAGGGTCGATCAAGCTGTGTAGAATGAGAGTTCAGAGAAAAACCTTGAAAAAATCATAGAAGCTCAAACTCTAGCAGATGCTTTGAGAAGTATGCGGGATTCGGTTCTAGAGAATCAACGGAGAGGTCCAACCAACTCGTTCAATTGCCGACAATTTTCCATGTTCTCTATTGCCCTCATATGTTTCTCTGCCTCTCACGTCTTCATGGCATCTGTGAGCTTACACAATCAACGTCTTCATGCCGCTGAATACGCGCTTATTTCATTCCTCGAGTATTCCCTTACCCCCCCCCCCCCCCCAAAGCTCACTTCTTATCTCGCCACATGTTTTTCTGCAACGTCCGATGCTCTCAGCAGCGCAACCCTCTATTTCTCTGCGCTCTTACTCACCCGAGACCCCACTATCAATTCTAGTTGTCGCGGTAACCGTGTAATAAGGACAAACAGCCACTGACCCACTTCCTATCCTATTGAGCGTTTTGCGACTGTATAACCAAGCGTCAGCCACCCAAAGGTAGGAAGCGGCCGCGGTGATTGTGATGATACGCGGCCCGCCCTAGACGTAGATAAAGGTCCACAAAAGGGGCCACTGCCCCTTCCTCATTGTTCCGCTCCCCTTCTCCTCCGCCTTGGAGGATCGCACCAATGAGGAAAATAAAATGGTTCACTGTCTCCGCCCACACAACGAGCATACACTGTATCTTCGGAAAACTGTAGAGTGCTTCTTAGCACCTTATTTCAGCTAACAACCTCCAAAACTGTACATATATTATATTAAGCAGCATATTATTTCCAAGATCATCACTACCAACACCTAATACCAGGTCCAACAATTATCCCAATTTCCTTGCTGCGACCGGCCTGTAATGTTTATACGGAGCACAATTCACTTAGTGCGCGTGCGGGTAAGTGACTGACTTGCAAAAAGTACTGTAGCAGAACAAATCGTGTACCTGCAGATTCTCCACCTGCTATGGCGACTGCGCCTCGATCACGTTGAGCACGACCATCAACAACCAGAATCACACCGCCACCATGTACATGTGCGATCCCGTATCGGTCTGCAGAGCCTTGAGTAAGTCGATTGGCCATTTGAAACTGTTCATAGTAATTTTTCAACCTTGGTTTTTTTCAGACATGTCCAACCAATGCAGCACAGTCGAGCCAGGAGTCAGCGGATGTTGCTGTAATACTGACGGCTGCCTTAACCCTAACAATAACGTCGTATGTATTAGACTTAATTGTTACAGTAAACTCTGTCGCGAGTTCGGGTAAGGGGCAGTGGGGGGGGGGGCATTGCTGCCACGCATTCCTACTTCTCATGGCGGCGTTCCGAGCACCTGAGGAGCTATTTCATGAGCTTACAAGAGTTGACAGGTTTTACCATGATGACCAGGACAAGCTTGCTCCGGAGTCACAAGAGTTCACAAGGTTTTAGTAGGGTTATACTTGTAAACAAGAACTAGTGGAACAGCGGAAGTGCAAAAAACCCTCCCCCCCCCCTCCGTCGCTCGAACTGAACCCTACTCTGAGGACAATGAGCATCGCTATCCGTGGGTCAGAGTGGGTAGCCATGGCCGCTCAAATAAAGTTTGAAATGGAGGCGGAATGGTCGGGGCATGGCTAGATCTGTGAGTGCGCGACATTATGTGTATTCGGACCAACTCCTTATCACGACCATGAAACCTCAGCCTCGCCTTATTCAAACGCTCCCGTGAAATTTTTGGGCCAGAAGAGACTGCGTGTGTTAATACGCCTGCGGTATGGTCACGTCATCTCTGCACGTCTGCCGCCTCTCATACAGGAGATATCGCTCCCCATTCGCCCAAACAGGGACTGTTGATAAATAGACGAGACAAAAGATATTGGTCATGCACGAACATACTTCGCATCACATGCCGCGCTGCTCCCCCTCCCCCTGCTCGACACCTCCCCTGCTCGACCATCTTGGCCCAGGGATTAGTCATGAATACGTGGACTGTTCAGCACTAAGGAAGATGGAGGGGACACAGTTAACAAACTGGACCACATTCCTGGCTAATCCCAACTAGTATTAGGCAAATCCTTCGAAAGTTATCCTATTGAGGGGGAGGGGGTAACAAGTGGGCATAGGCGTGGTCTAGTCTTGCTGCTGACGAGTTTCCTTAACTACCTTATTACGTTCCCTAGCCTGACCTCAAGTTCCTGCCGGATACCCACGCATATTCTATAGCCCGGAGATGAAGGGGACGTGGCTGCGTGCTTTTTAGACGATGACGTGGGGGCGCTTTCGTGGGGTCTCCTAATCTGAAACGTCAAGGGGTCAACAAGACGAAGGTTCCAAAAACCCACATGTTTAAGTGGAGCACGCAACCACGCCCTTTCCGTCTGCGAGATATGAAGCCTATATTACCTGAACAATGCTCCGATTTTTAGTATCCTGGAAACCCTCTGGTGTGTTATGTTGGAATCTACTACGAGAAGGACAACTACAGCGTCGGTTCAGAGGTGAGGGACTTATTACTAAGATGAAGAAGGATACATTTGTTTCGGAATTCCCACGCGCGGCGGTCGCGCACGGACAAACTGACACTTTCCAATCAATAATCCATTCAGATGCCTTGCAACGGCCAGTGCGCTTCGCTACAGACTACATTCGGCGGAAAAATGCTGAAGAGTTACCATTGCGCGTCAACACAAATTTGCAAGTAAGTACCGTATTACCGTGTCGTTAGGTTCGAACACGAACCTACACTATTTCAGGCAAATTGCTGACAACGACTGCACGAAGATCTACAAAGACACTGATGTTACGGGATGCTGTTGCAATAATGCAAACAACTGTAACGTGAAGGAATCGATCAGCACCAACAACACCGTTCCTCCGGTGAGTCCCACAACGAATTTAGGGAAACGGTAGCATCAAAAGGTGTCTTTCTAGTTCACCGGCACACCAATTGCTTGCCAATCTGGAATCTATGTCGATGGAGTAGCTATCGCAAATGACAAGTAAGTCGTTGCCAGTAAAGCATTACTCATTTTCACAGGGTACACCATCGTGGGACAATCCCGTCACAGAGGTCGTAGCTAGGGAAGGGGCCGCATTTGGTCGATAAGGGACCCCCTTCAGGTAAAGGATGTGAGAAATCATTATCGATCACACTCGACAGACGTGTGCGTCAGTAGACGAGTTGAACGAGTTCAGTGTTGGGGCGAGGCCGTAAGACAGTTGAGGGGGACAGATGAGTGGCGAATTGAGCTGAGTGGTACCGTAACCTAGGCCG